TTGCGGTCAAGAATGTAAATGGTTTTTTAATTTTTTTTTCTGTTTTTTTTTTCTTTTTTCAACTAATGACTAGACATGCTCGTATTGTCGTGTGGTCGTACGGCCCCACGGGGATGGGTTGGTGAATGGGGGCAGGGGTGGTGTAACACTGTAACCAGGGGCCAACGACTCGGTTTTGTATGGGTTGTGCTTCATCATCGATTCATTTATTCAAAGCCACTGCTGTCTATCGTGACGCAAGTGCGCTTCGCGACTCTTTGTTGTCACACGCTGCGGTTGTGACATCATGACGCGGAACACTGGCAAGGAGCAGGTGGCCCCCGACCAGGCCATGACAACAAGTGAGAGTGGTACAAGAAAGGGACACAACTCGAAGACTTTCGACTCTCCATTCAAGATTGATGTTGGTGTGGATGCCAAACGCGATGACCCTGTGTGGCATTTTGTTGCACGTGGCCGATACTTGTACCCCGAGACTGCGGTGGGGAGGAAGAGTGGTCGACGATGTGTCTGCAGATTGTGCGGGAAATCCATTTGTGGGGGCAGTAGAGAAGCGAAGGAACATTTCTTCAAAAGTAAGGAGTTCAGATGCCCGACGGGGACCCCTGCTGTGTATTATACCATATGGGCGAAGAACATGGACAAGTGTCCGAAGGACTTTGTTGCCTCGATTGAGGAGTTGAAGAGGCTCCCTCCTGGCGCTCCGGCATTCCAGTGGCCGACACTTTTATTCCCAGAGGACTCGGAGCCTCGCCGGTCGCTTGCTAGTGAGGCAGGGCCGTCTCGCGGTGCAGTTGGTGCACCGGTTCTGGCACCTGTGGCGGGAGGACCGTCGGCCGGTGCAGTCCCACCGCCGGTACTTGGAGGGACCGCCGTGCCGTCGGCAGAGGCAACGAGACCGCCACCTGCGCCGCTCGAGGGCCACCGTATCTCTCCGTCGGTTGGATTGCATCCTATGTTCACGACTACCGCGGCCAGAGTATCGGCTGCAGCAGGAGCTCCTTTTGCGGGTGACCGAGGCACAGTTGCGGCAGCCACGGCTCGATGGTTTCCACCTCGACCTCCACGTTCAGCTCCATCTTTGGCAGCGGCTGACTTGCGGGCGCCACAGCGTGCAGGCGCGGTACCTACGTCGCGGTGGTCTCCTCCTCGTCCTCCGCGTTCAGCTGCCCCTCAGTCGCACCCACCACCGCACCAGGACGTGCAGGGGGCTGCGGCTCACACGTATCCACCATCGACTCATGCAGCAGAGGGCGAGGGTCCGCCCCCACCAATTTCACTATCTGATTCTTCGCCCATACCTGCTGCCGAGACTGCCCCCACATTCGCTGGTGTGGTCGCAGGGGATTTGGATCCTATGGAGCGGCTACGCAACATTCCACTTCCACAGGCCATCACACTGGCGAGTCCAGCTGGTTTGTTTGACATGAGTGCCTCTGGTACGGTCGCACGAGGGAGGGGCACATACAAGCAGCAGGCGGTCACCTCGTATTATTCTGACCCTAGAGAGCGTGCATGGCACATGACGATCATGCAGTTCATCGTGGAGAGTGGCATGCCATTTAACTGCGTGAAGCTTGAGAGCTTCAGACGGATGTTCACAATCATCATCCCTCCTGGGGTCCCCGGGGCTCCCGTGCCTAAACCCCCGACTTATCACATGGTTCGAACGACGTTGTTGGACGAGCTGGATGCAGAGGTGCAGCAGTGTGTGAGACCAGTGCTCGATACCGCGCGTCAGAGTGGTTGCACTATTATGACGGATGGTTGGACAAACATCCGTGGTCAGACATTGTGCAACTACCTTGTCGGTACAGAGAGGGGACCCGCGTATCTTGCCACTGATGTTATGCGGGGGAGGAAGGAAGGCCAGCATTGGCGAAGGCATGGTTGCACAGGCTGAAGACCCTCGATATCCAGCTCAGTGACATCACGGCGTTTGTCACAGATTCTGCGGGTGTGAACGTGTCCGCCATGCAGATATTCGAGGAGGACGAAAGCGTCAAACATATTTTTTGGATTCCGTGTGTGGCACATGTTATGGACCTCATCTTGGAGGACATTGGGTCGATTGGATGGGTGGCATCACGCATTGCTCAGGCACGACTCGTCACGAAGTTCTTCAAGCGCCACAGTCACGCATGCAAGGCTTTGGAGAAGAAGACGAAGCTGAAGTTGTTGCTGCCTGCGGAGACTTGTTTCGGCACCAACGTCATCATGATCAGGAGATTGTTGGATCATGCAGGTCGTTACCGAGGACCCGTGGCGCGACACTGTTTGGGCCACGCGGAAGGTCGGTCAGGATGCCGCCGAGATCACAACATGTGTGGGGTCTCCTCCATGGTGGGAGGATTTGAGGCGTTTGTGTAATATCATGGACCCGGTCATGGAGATGCTGCAGATGCTGGACAGTGACACACGGCAGATCAGCAAGGTCCTGCGTCGGTATGAGATTATGATCGCATCTTGTCTTACCGCGTGCGACTCCCTCACCGCGACAGAGCAGGATGAGATCCTTGAGGTTTTCGACAGGCGGCGCACCATGTTCCGTACTCCAGTGCACATAGCGACCATGATGCTTGATCCTGAGTTTCGAGATGCCATCCTGCCGGACGACGATGTGATGCAGCAGGGGTTGATTGCCGCTTTGGTTCAGTTTGGCTACCCTGAGGGATCTCCGCAGCACATCGAGGTGCTCACCGCGATCGACAAGTTCCATGCCAGGGAGAGGCCTTTCGACAATGCCACGATGGATAGAGAGATGAGGAGCTATGAGCACCCGTCCAATTTTTGGGAGTCGAAGTCGCGCAGGTTTCCACACACCGCATACTTTGCCATGAGGATCCTGCGTGTTTGGACGACAGTGTCGCCCTGTGAGAGAGCTTGGTCCCGTTGGAGTTTCATCCACTCGAAGACTCGCAATAGGTTGGAGGTTGGATGGGCTGAGAAGCTCGTGCGGTGCCATTGGAACCTCCGTCTTCTCGACCGTCCATCTCTGACCGAGGACGCTCCTCACGACAGACCCAATCAATTCGGGAAGTGGGTTCACTATTGGCAGCATTTGGAGGACGAGTTGCCCACTGACCAGCAGGTTGTTGCGGGGAGTGGAGCGAGATTGGCAGCCACACAGGAGGAGATGCGTGTGGCGAGGGAGCGGATGCGCAGTGTTTCTCGCATGGGCACCGAGCACCGCCTTGTCCAATCGGACAAGAGACGACATGGACGTGTTCGGGGTCGTGGCGGGCGTGGTGGGCGTGGGGGGCGTTCTGGTCGTGGACGAGGTGGGCGTGGGGGACGCGGACGTGGATCAGCGGGCGGGATATGTCCTCGTAGTGCGCAACCTGGGCTGCGTGATGAGGCGATGGTCGACCTTATTCGGTTCCCTCGACAGCATTGGGACGAGGGTGATTTTTTGTATCACAACTCCGATAGCGACGACGAGGATTTCTTCTGTACCGCCATGCCGCGAGGCGGAGACGACGACGGCAGGCCGGACGACGACCGTCCGGATGATGACGATAGTGATGATGGAGCGGGCGACGGTCGGGACCCTCGATCGTTGAGACGGGGTGGTGGCACTGGTGGGAGAGATGCTGTTGCACCACGAGATGCAGCAGGTGATGGCGGAGGATTAGACGTCGTCGACGGTGGAGGCGGCTCAGGCGGGCCACAGGTCGAGGATACTGGAGCAGCGCCGCAGCGTACACGTGCGGATGTGGCTATGGACACCGAGCAGCATGCGGGAGTGGACGTTGTCGACGACGGAGGCAGTAGGGATGGACAGGCCAGTCCCCCGCATGGCTCGAGACCTCACCTCGTACGATTGCGGCATGGGCCGAAGAGGACACAGTCGATTGCCGATCGTGTGCGGCMCCGCCACGGGACCCTCCCCCCCACCGTTCGTCCACGAGCCGTTGAGTCTGAGCTTGTCCCCGTTTCCGAGGACTCCATGAGTGATGGGCCCGTCGATGAGCGACACCCATCACCTGCCGGCTCGGCGCGGGAGACACATCCGGTTGCCGACGGGGCACAGGAGGATGCACGTCCAGTTCATGGCACAGAGCAGGACGCACATCCACTTCCACGCAGTCCAGTGCTCGGTGGTGGTATGGACGAGGCTGACGTGTGCATGGAGGTGATGGAGGCAATGGACTTAGGATGTCCCCCTGCGCCGATGACGGACGTAGATCAGCGCGCCGAAGCGGCGAGTGGATTACCACGCACAGATATCTCAGGAGTGTCTACCATGGAGGATGGTGAGATCACTCCAGCGGCGGGAGACCTAGGAGACGGGAATGTTCGCCTCTCTCACCCCACTGGCAGTCTTCCTCGAACTGCTGACCTGCTCTCCATAGGTTCTGCACTCGACGGGCTCCCCGACATCCGCACCCTCGTTTCACCGTCATTGTCGTATGTGCAGCCCCCTTGCCCCGATGGTAGGAGCACCCGGGCCGCAGGAGACGAGGATGTCGGCCTCGCATGCCCCGATGGTAGTCTTCCTCCCATAGGCGACATGGTGGGCATGGGCACGCTCCCCGACAGCATGTTTGGTGCTGTTACGATTATTCCACCATCGTTGCCGCTCGTGCCGCCCCCTGGCCTCGAGGGTGGGCCCGCCCGCGACGCAACAGACAGAGGGTTTGACGAGTTCGGTGGAGATACGATATTGTCTGCCATGGCCTCTGCAACCCCATCCGTATTTCGGGTGGGGAAACCCCACGAGGTCGCTCTAGGCTTGGCCGAGACCACGACACACCATGGAGGTCTGCCACATACGAGGGACGGGCGTAGCTCCGCACAACGTAGCCTCGCTGACTCTTTGGACGAAGCGTCTTCTGACAGCGGCGCGCGAGAGGGTGCGCCATTGGGTGGACTTGGAGGGGATCCTTGTGTGGGAGCACCGTCGACGACCAGGGGTGGAGAGGGTCGATCAGGGGCACCTCCGACCAGCGCAAGCCACGCAGAGCCTGGGAAGGACATTACACCAGCTTCGTTGACTGCCGGTCGCACTGGTGACAGACCTGCCACGCGCATGGATTCTGCACCACATGCGGTCGGGAGGGGCGGTAGGGAGGAGCGACAGGGAGGAGCTTATGCGGGGGGTCTGGCCCACCTGTGCCAAGGTTGGCAGCATCGTCTTTTTACGGTCGGGGGAAAGCAGCACCAGTCGATGGCGGAACCGCGGCAGGGAGGAGTGCATGCGGCATGCCAGATGTGCCCTTTGGAACACATTCCATCGGCGCTGTTGGCGGTCGTAACCATGGTGCGATGCGTGAGTATGAGGACCAGCATGGCAGACGGCTGGCCACGAAGACATCAGATGTTGCCTTCACCAGGGTGGTGAAGGCTAGTATGTCGCGTGCAAAGAGTAAGGGCGGACACGAGAGGTCTTCACAACATTCGAGTCGTCGTGGCACCGCACCCAGGGAGTCTGTGCATGGTCACACTCAGGACGGGGAGGTTGCTGCAGCGCATGGTGGTGTACCGGAGGATGGACAGGCAGGTGATGGAGGCCGTTCACGCAGATTGTCATGCGTGCATGACAGCTCCGGCAGCGCAGGGGATGAGCGGCGCAACCACACCGAGGGGGCTGGTCGTGGAGAGAAGAGACGAGGTGCTTTCACCATTGTACACGATGACAGTTCTGACATCCCGGCCGGCGAGTCGATGGGGGCCGACGACCCAGGTGACTCCGATTATAGACCGGATGGATCTCGACCTGCACGCATGGAGTATGGATCTCGACCTGCACGCATGGCGGACGGATCACGACCAGCACGCATGGCGGATGGATCTGATCCTGGAGGACGTCGACTCAGACGCAGGGCAGCACTCGATGCACAGGGACATTTGACTCCTTCGACTCTGAGACCATTCATCCCCCGGCCCTGGGTTGACAGGGGCGAACAAGCTCGTACAGTCCTACTGGCAATAGAGGCTAGGCGACTTCAGAGATTGACTCCTGCATTCCCGCGTCGTGATAGGACTGACGATCAGAGAGAGAGGCAGATAGTCACAGACATAGGGGGAGTGACAGGGGGGGGGTAGGTGATGGATCTGATGGTGGAGGCGGGG